AAAATAAAATAAAATTATTTTTAAAAAGGAAAAAAAGATTAAAAAAAATAGAGACAGGGTCTTGCTCTCTTCCCCAGGTTGGTCTCGAACTCCTCAGCTCAAGCGATGCTCCCATCTCAGCCTCCAAAGAGCTGGGATTACAGTCATGAGCCACTGCATCTGGCCATGTAAATACAAAACTGCCTTGATCACTGTGCAAAACTGTCTTGATTACTGTAAACCTTTTAAGTCAGGTAGTGCTAGTTCTTGTTATTCCTCCAATTTTGCTTTTTGTTTAAATGTTTTGGCTATTACAGGTCTTTTGCATGTCTGTATACATTTTCAAATTACTTTATCACCTTTTGTAGAAAAGCTTACTGGAATTTTGATTGGGATTGCTTTGAATCTTTAGAACTATTTGGAGAGAATTACTATCTTAAAATGGAGTTTTCTGATCCATGGACCTGGTATCTCTTTCCACCTAGCTAAGTCTTCTTTAGTTTCTCTCTGCCATCTTTTACAGTGTTCAGTGTAGAGTGCTTGAACATATTTATTAGATGTAATCCTGAGTGTTTTATATTTTTTAGTGCTTCTGTAAATGGAATTGTTTTTGAAATTTTATTATTTTTTTTTAATAAAAAAAATTTTTTTTTTAAAAGACAGGATTTCACCATGTTGGTCAGGCTGGTCTTGAACTCCTGACCTCAGGTGATCCGCCCGCCTTGGCCTCCAAAGTGTTTGGATTACAGGCGTGAGCCACCACGCCTGGCGAAATTTTATTTTTGAGTTCTTTGGTATTAATACATAAAACATATTTTTGCTTTGTATATTACTCTTAGTTTCAGCAGTTGGTATGTAGATTCCCTGGGATTTTCTGCTGACACAGTTATCATCTGCAAATAGGAATGGTTTTATTTCTTCCTTTCTGATCTTTATGCCTTTTCTTTTTCTGTCTTATCAAAATGTCTAGAACAGCCAGAATATTAAATACAGTGGTGATTGCCTTGTTTCAAATCTCAGGGGAAACCTTTTATCTTTAGGTATAATGTTTGTGTTGTGCTTTTTTGTAGATGAGTTGTCCTTTATCATTTTGAGAAACTTCCCTTCTGTTCCTAGTTTCTTTTATTATGAATGGGTGTTGATAATTTTTTTGCGTCTGTTGGAGCAATCATATATTGTTCTTGTTTATTCTGTTAATACATCACATATTCACCTGTTAAAGTGGCAAATTACATGTGCTAATATTTGGATGTTAAGCCAACCTTGCATTCTTGGAATAAACTCTACTTGGTTAGCTACATTTTCCTTTTTATATTGGAGTCTATTGCTAATATTTCGTATTATTCTATCATAATATTGTATGTTGCATTTCGTTGTTAGTGTTTTGTTAAGGATTTTATGTCAACATTCAAGAGGGACATTCGTCTATGATTTTTCTTTTTTTTTGTAACATTTCAGTACTAGGGCTATACTGGCCTCATAGAATTAATTGGACCATGATCTTTGACAGAGTTTTATTAGATCAATTTTATTTCTTCATCATATTTATGATAGAATTTGCTATTAAAATTTTCTGGTTCTCTTTTGGGAAGACATATGGTAATTTCAGTTCTTTTACTAGGAAAAACTCTTCAGATGCTTTATTTCTTCATGTATGGGTTTTTTTTGTTTTTGTTTCTGTTTTTAAGACAGTTTATCACTCTGTTGCCCAGGCTGGAGTGCAGCGGCACGATCTCAGCTCACTGCAACCTCTGCCTCCTGGGTTAAAGCAATTGTCATACTTCAGCCTCCTGAGTAGCTGGGATTACAGATGTGCACCACCATGCCCGGCTAATTATTTTTATTTTGAGTACAGATGGGATTTCACTGTGTTGGCAAGGCTGGTCTGGAACTCTTGGCCTCAAGTGATCTGCCCGCCTTGGCCTCCCAAAGTGCTGGGATTACAGATGTGAACCACTGCACCTAGCCTTTTCTTTCTTTCTTTTTTTTTTTTTTTTTGAGATGAAATCTTGCTGTGTTGCCCAGGCTGGAGTGTAGTGGTGCAATCTTGGCTTACTGTAACCTCTGCCTCCTGAGTTCAAGCAATTTTCCTGCCTCAGCCTCCTGAGTAGCTGGGATTACAGGTACCTGCCACCATGCCCAGCTAATTTTTGTATTTTGTATTTTTTATTTTTATTGGAGATGGGCTTTCACCATGTTGGCTTTGAACTCCTGACCTCAGACGATTCACCCACCTTGGCCTCCCAAAGTGCTGGTATTATAAGCATGAGCCATCACACCTGGCTTTCCTGGCTTCTTTGTCTATGGATTTTAAATTGTGTTTTCAAGAAATTTGTTCATTTCATCTAAGTTGTTAAATTTGTTAGCACCATATTTTCTTATTATCTTTTTAATATCTGTAGATTCTAAAGTGATAACACCTTTTTCGTTACAGATGTGAGTGATTGGTGTTATCAGTTACTTTTCATGATGGAGCTACCTGGGTGAGGGGTTGTCAGTGTTGTAGATCATTTCAAAGAACCAGCTTTTGGCTTTGTTAATTTTTATTGTGTATTTGTTTTCTGTTACATAAATTTCTGCTCTTTATTAGTTCCCTCTTTTACTTACTTTGGGTTAACTTGCTTTTTGTTTTGTTTGTTTTAAAGGTTTTTAAGGTGGGAAAATTTGTTTTTAAAGCTTTTGTTTTTAAGGGACTTGGTTTGATTTATTTAACAAACATTTACTAAGGTCCTATGATTCGATATAGCCGTCACTATCAGGTCTTAAAGCAATGAAGACAGGTGGTAGGGCAAGTTGCTTACAGGATAGTGGACATTGATGCATGTCTACAGTGTGTTGTCTTTTTTCCTTGCCATTTTTTTCTGTTGGAGATGGGATCTCACTGTGGTGCCTAAGCTGGAGCACAGTGGCTGTTCACAGTCACCATCCTAGTGCACTACTACCTGCAACTCCTGGGCTAAAGTGATTCCCCTGCCTCAGCCTCCCAAGTAGCTGGGACTGCAGCTGCACACCACCACACCTGGCTACAGTGTGTTATCAAGAGTGCAAACCCAGTAATCTTGAGGGTTTTGTTGTTATTGTTTTGTTGTTTGAGACGAAGTCTTGCTCTGCCTCCCAGGCTGGAGTGCAGTGGCATGATCTTGGCTCACTGAAGCCTACACCTCCTAGGTTCAAGTGATTCTCCTGCCTCAGTCTCCCAAGTAGCTGGGTTTACCAGGCACATGCCACCACATCTGGCTAATTTTTGTATTTTTATTAGAGACAGGGATTTCACCATTTGGCCAGGCTGGTCTTAAACTCCTGACCTCAAGCAATCTGCCTGTGTTGGCCTTCCAAAATGCTGCGATTACAGGTGTGAGCCACTGCACCTGGCCAATCTTGAGATATTTTTTAAAAACAAGTGCCACATCATTTGAAATTCGTCTCTTTGGTTAGGAGCTGCTTATAATAATTACTTCTTAATGTTTTCTTACACATTCTCCATTTCTTCTGTTGTACATAATTAAAAGGAAAGCCTTTCATGGTAGTGACATGTTCCAAGTGTTTTGTTCTGTCTTTCAGATAATTTATTGTTTGTAATCAACTCCATCAAGCAAGAGATTGTAAATCGGGTACAGAATCCAAGAGAGGAGAGAGGACCCAACATGGGGCAGAAGCTTGAAATCCTCATTAAAGATACTCTCGGTAAGAATAATATTAGATAAATTCATAGCAATGATAACATGTAGTATAAGATGTATGATTTAAGGGGATATTAAAAGTTCTTTTAGTTTAAGGAAAAACTCAAGTGCTCTCATTGTAGTTACTCTCCTTTATGAGTAATTTTATCTTTTGGGATTTAGTGTTCATAAACATGTATTGCAGGTGACCACGATTTGTAATTTAGACCTAATCTTGAAACTATTTTAACACTTAAGAAAAACAAACTTCTAGCAGGTTTACCCTTTCATAGAAGACAAACAGTCCCAGAGCTGTCAAGCCTGCAGTTTGCACTTTAGTATAGAGATCCTTACTTGTTTTACTCAGTAGTGCATTTCACAGGATTCTGACAAAGTTGGCTCTCTTGTTTCCCATCCCTAAACAGATTGCACAGTGTGGGGAGGATCACAGAGGCAGGCAGCTAGACGTCAGGGCAAGTGAGAGCTGACAGGAAAGAGAGAGCTAGCTATTGTAGACAGACGTGAGAACTCAGCTCATAGGAGCAAGTCACCTGACAGACAGTAGCATCCAAGGCACCCAGCATTATACAACCCATGAAAACCGCCCAAATTAAATTTATACAATAAAAGGTCAAATGTTTATCGTGAACAAAACTCTGTTTATATTGGGAACAATCAGGTGAAGAGTAGACCCCAAACATCAGTATTTTCCTCAGCAATCACTTACCTCCCGCTTCCATATGGATTAATTCAGGGCTTGACTTTTTCTTCAAATAGGTTGATGCTATTTTAGTGTTTTATATATTCTTTCATAGCATTTCTTTCTTTTCTTTCCTGTTACTTTTTTTTTTTTTTTTTTTGAGGCGGAGTTTC